CAGTATTAAAATAGTTATTCAATTCAACTAACTTATCTAAAAACTTTGAAGTTGTGTACAACAGATCAGTTTTAGCCTTGGTGCTGAATTTGAGCTGCTGTGGGAAAGATGGGAAATGTTTGGGCTTCAAACTTACTCAAAGAAGGAAAATGTACATTTACTTAAGTTTATAAAGTTCCAGATGATAGTGATAAAGCAGTGGCCATGTTTGTAGGGTCTAAACCCCTCACAAAAATGAGAAAGTCTAAGATTAAGATTCTGTACTTACCATGTTCCTGGTAGAATGTGTTGTCAAAGGCTGGCCCAGTGTTTGATGTTCCGTTCTGCCGGCTCCAGTCAAACTGATCTACAGTGTCCAATTCATACCATCCACACATCTCATCTTCAAAGTCGCACCTTGCTCCTGGGGGCATCTTGGCTGGAAAGGGACATCACAAGTAATGGGAGGTTAGCAAGGTCAACTCTCTTAAGACATTAGGGCATTACGTCAAACTATAAGGTTGCTATGGTTGAAAGTTCTTGTTGATTTTATATTTATGAAGAATTATGGACAATAAAGTATATGCAAAGAGGCAGACTTAGGGATTTCACGTTCCCTCTATTTTGAGGATCAAAACTTTTGTCTTTTTTTGTGTACAAAACTGTATCAAGCTCACCAGGGCTACAACTATTCTGAAACTAAAAAGTGAAGAGCATCTTTAATGTCTTTGATATACATTATTTCAGCAATATCCTTTTTTGTTTTGTTTTCTTTTGCTTTGGTGGACTGAATTCAATCAAGCTCTTTGGCTTTGATAACTGTCTTTGGTTAACAGCTCCATCTAGTAATAACTTTTTCAACTGCAGTCAGCAGGATTCACCTATGTGTGTTTTCTTCTGCTCTTTGTCCTACAATAATCAAAACAGCTGAAAGGAGGCTCTTCTGTACCAGATATTAGAACTTCCCAACCAGTAACCTGTGGGGTATAAAACAACCTGATTATAGCTGTCCAAGACTTCAGGCTTCTTTATTTGAACTTAAATAGCCACCAATTGCCCTTTAAAAGCTTTGTGTTTTTGATACTATAGTTTTTTTCTTCTTTTGAAACTACCTCCATTCTATTTTCACAATTTCTCTCCCATTATGAAACCCCTTTGTCACAGCATGATTTAGGTGATATAAGCTATATGCATTTATCTTTAGTACTTGCCAGGTGTTTTAAAGCACATTCACAAAAGAGTTTTGCGTCTTTTGAATAACAATTGGTTACAAAATGTTGACAATCCTCACATCCTCCTCCCCAAAAAAATGTTCAATCATTTTATTGTAAGGCCACACCAATTTAATTTGTTGTTTCTCGGATTTGCTCTATCCATTTATTTTTCTGATTTGAAAAAAAAAATTGCTTGGAATGTTTTTTCTTTCCTCCATTTTGTATGTATGTCCAGATCTCATCTTTTGACAGTCAAGAGAAGACAACTTCAGTTTAAGTGTTTACTGACATTGCCCTACACTTATACCACCAACAAAAGCAGAATTAAGAAACCTTAAATCAAACCTCAATCATATAAGATGAACATCAAACCTACTACATTTCTCTCCTTCATCTTCCCCAAAGAAACAGTCAGGGCTGAGGTCACACAGGTGGTCCCAGGGGACACAAAGGGTATTCGGACAGGTGTACTCTTTCTCACCACAGGCAAGTGTTGGGAGATCTGTAGATTGTCAACAGCAATGACAAACTGTTACAATTCAAATTATCTTTGTTGAAAACAGTAAGATAGAAGAAAAGGCTTAATCCACAGAGAACAACTAATGTGTAGAATAAAGAAGGCAAAAACTCGGCAATTTGTCATATGTAAAATCTTAAATTTCAAGCACTGACTGATGTGTAACTGGAAGAAAAATTGAGGATACACGGTGGTAAAATCTGGGCTGCAAAGTTCCCACATGTCATAGAACCCGAACTGTGTTCGATCGTGTTCGATCTGGGCAATTCGAATCGAACCCGCGTTCTATTTTGGGGTCACCTGCGGTCATTTCCTATAAAGCGGCAAAACAAGCCTTTCTGCCTCCGTGCATTGCAACAGATAAAAAACAACACTTTTCTATAGATATAAACAGTTTCCTGGACAGTACATGTCTGCTATTATTTTTGGTGGACATGTAACATGTAGCGAAGCTACTGTCGTATCCTTGAGTGACCTTGAATACTGTAATGATTCTTTACGCCAGTATGAATAACACAATGCACACTTTCTGGCGATATGACATGTCTCCAAAACTCGTTCAAACCTGGAAACATGGAGAGTCAAACATACCCCATTTACGGCTCAAAATGACTGTAATGGCTGTCCCGAAAATCGTGTTTTAGGGATTTTTGAAAAATGGCCTCAATTTTGAATTATGGGTAATTTAGTGAGAAAAATGTCAAAAAATGCCATTTTTTCACCAATATGTCGACAAAAACTTGACTTAAAATCAGAAATTAAAAAATCCCTAAAACACGATATCTTATCTTATTCCTAGTCTGCGAAAAATATAAAAATCGGGGATCTGGGGTAATATACGTAGCCAGGTTTGAACGATGTTTGCCTAAAAACATGACATGACTTGTGCCGAAAAACCCGAAAATAATCGTCTGTCTGAGCGAAATTTTAAAAAACCAGTGATTTAACATAAAAAGTTAACATTGAAAGGATGTTAAGACGATAATTTCATTTTAATTTGACGAAATTTACGCCTAATTATTTTTTGTTTATTTTCAAATATTTTACGGGTAGTCCAAAACAGGCCAAATAGCGTCTTGTAACCCGATACCTTTTCGAACACGCATAGCAATGGGAAAGAATGCCGTAGTGACAGACCGCCATGATAGAATAAGGAAAATGAGAACAATCAAGCAAACATGTATATCCAGTAATGTTACACAATGTGTGCATCATGCCCATACATGTAATGTTAGCCTGACAAAACAAAAGGAAAGACTTTGTTTGGAACTTGTATGTTAGATTTTTGCCTCTCAATGTAAGTTTAGTCAGGCCACATACCTGGGGAGCATGAGTCCATAGTGATGTCATCTAGGGCCACATGACCTATAACACTCTCTCCCTGTATGTACTCAAACCCCAGCCTGAAGCCCTGTTCAAATTTCCCTAATTCAATTTCTTCCTCTTTCCACTGATCTAAGACAGTTCTATGGAAACAACAGGTAGAATAGTAAGGTTAATGTACATTATTATTGTAAATCCAGTTGAAAAACATGTAGATTCATGCACAGTTTTGATTGCTAAAACTACTAGTATAAATATTGAAACCCATCTTATCTTACTGTTGCAGTACTACATATACACATTGTACATTTAACTAGGTTTATATCAAGAGAATAGTAGATGATGCAAACTCTTTGTACATGCAAGAGAAAGTACTGAAATAATGATAATACTTCAACTGACATATTCTGGCCCTCTGTTGCCCATATCACTACGGAGGTGTTGTCCACATACAGATGTAGCAGCAGGGAACCAGTCAGGTTTGCAGACACATGGGAGGCAAATCGCAGCTTACACTGACCCCCACTTTCTCCAAAATATGGACTGAGTAGCTCAGCTGTGAACCCCGGGTTGTGTTCCAAGGCATCCACAAACATGTACTGGCCTGCAGTGATAATGAATGTAGTAGAATATTACAATAAGAACTACTAACAATAATACAACTTGTTTCCATAGAGCTGTGTCAGTATTAAAAAATACCCCCATTTTATTAGGTTCAATGTTAATACAGGACAAAAGCTGAGCAGCCAGTAGAAAATTCGGAATGCAAACAACAGTAAATCAGCACCTTGGACAGATATCAGATACATGCTATTTTCTGTATAGAATTTAGACATAGAAAGACTGTGATACATGTATGTTGTAGTAAATGACAGTTTTTCATTTAAAGTAAATTGTTCAATCTGTTTTTCTTGTTTTCATTTTTGCACATATTCCTCCAATCATGTTGTCATGTAGGAAACTGTTCATCGTGAGATCAAATTTGGATGTCCTTACCCTGTTCTGTGTCCTCAGTGTAGTCATACTCAGGCAGAGTGGAGCTGACAGACAGGCCTGAGCCCACTCCCCAGCCCATCTCATCAACCAGAAAACTCTCCATCCAATCACACGGGCTCTGCTCAAAGTCACAATCTGGTGGGTTCCAGAACACACAGGGGTTTCAGAGTAACATCCATTCTCAATGTAGCTTGTACTTCATGTTACCAACATTAATATTATCTATTATATCAGAGCCTTTGTCTCAGACAGCACAAAGTAACTTTCATTGGTCTAAAATATGATTTATTAATCACTCTCACAGGATATTGCTACAGTAACTGCTACAATTATATCTACAAAGAATGGTACCTAATTTCAGCTCTTACAGAGGTAATTTGCCAAACTGTTTGAGAAAATTTCTGGCCTGCCTACCATCAGATTTTTTTCTAAAAGTAGAAGGAGACTGAAACTCCAACATTAGTTTGTTTTGAAAAAGCTTGATTGAAAGTTACTCACTACAGTGGAATTCGTCTTCTCCCCCTGGGCAGTCTTTCTTGAAGTTGCAGTCAGCTGAAGACAGGCATGTGCTGCCATCATAACAGGCAAAGCCATCAGGAGGACAATAACCTGCATGATTAGGAGAGACATTTACAGACAGGCACTACTACTACTACTCATTTGTGTTTGCAGAAGTCTGGAGGAGGAGGCTTAGGAAGGTTTTCACTAAATCTCACTAGGATGACATATGGTGGAACATATTTGTGTGATTTCTTAGGTTTACAGTTATTTGAATACCAGGACAAACTATACTGTCTTCCATTGCATAATGTACAAAATCTCTCCAAGATTTTAGATAAACATACTATGACATTATTACAGTCCTTCCACTGTCTGCCTTCCCTTCTCAATATATCATTTTTATGCTGTCTTTGGGGTCCTAGTATCAGGCCCTTTTTGTTTGTCCACAGAAGAAAAATCAATGCTCACCCTTATATTTTTCATAAAATGCCAGATACTATCAAATTTAAATACAGGAAGACTAATGGATGAGGAACTACTGCCATTAGAAATTCATCACACAAATTTCTCTGGTCTACTTGGGAATCATGCAAAACATAACTGAATAGAATATTAAAGGAACCTTGAAGGAGAACAGGTAAATGGAAAGCTTGAGACCTCCGTCATAGTAACCTTGAAAGATTTCTAGAACAATATTTGATGTACTTCCTCCGTTGTCCTGTACATTTGTACATGTATACAAACTAAAACTTTGAACCCCAGAGTTGTTCATGGTGAATCTTAAACCTTTTTTTAAAATTTAACACATGTATAAGAATAGTATAGCCTGGAATATTTGCCCTTGACTTGTTTTCAACCACAACTTTTCCTGGTTCTACTAAAAGAAGACTTCAAATGCTTCACCGTGTAATAACGTTGTTACTATATGTACACATTGTACAATGTATCTAAAGATAGATAATCAATAGAGATGAGCACTTTGTAACACCACAGACACACACAGATAATTATCTTACTACAGATAGACTGGGAGGAAGCTCAAAGCTTTTAAGTAATAGAGACTTCATACTGAGCTTTTCTGGTATGACATAAACTATAATTATATACAAATAATTTTGACACAATTCTGTGTCTATCATGGCTCTTGAGAACTCAAACAGCACTTTTTTCCTGTTGTCTACAGAGCTAACTTTACTTTATTCTTTTAAATCTTTAAAAGCCAAGATTGCCAGTGATTATGATGAAAGGTGAATTTGTTAGGTTGCAACTGGGGGAATAACACAGTATTTATCTAATGAAATCATCTGAAGTTCTTCTCCCTCACTTGTGGGGATTTTTCAGGGATAAACTATCATTTTTGACAGTAATGTTAAAATTCCTGTCAGTACCATTCAGTGTTCATTTTCATGACACCGTTGTCCAGCTCCAGTTCCCAAGAACAAACACGCAGCAAACACTGTTGAGAAGCAATCAAATTGTGCAGGACTACGTACAGAGATAAGGACAATCCCTCACTATGTTATCAAGGATGATGATAGGAACAGTGTTGCAAAACCTAGGTTAAGGCCCCATCAGCTTTGTTGCTTGGTTCACACCACTTTCATTTTTCCATTAGGCCATGTTGATTTGATTATATGGATGACATGCTCCGGGAGCCCCAAAACTGATGCGCGCGTGCGAATAAAAAAAAGTTTTGAAAAAAAAAA